AAGAAAAAAAAGCTCACTTAAGCATATTTGCAAGGTTCATCCATGTTATAGTGTCTATTCATTATTTTATTCTTTTTGTTTCAGAATAATACTGCATTGGGTTGATAGAACATATTTTGATTTATCCATTTATTGGTTGGTATTCATTTTTCCTACATTTGACTATTATTAATAAGGTCATTATGAACATTCATATACAAGTGGTTTGTGAATCTATGTTTTCATTCTTTCAGGTGCATAGAGTCAGAATTTTGAAGAAGTGCCAAAAATTATCCCCAATGGTTATATCATTGTACATTCCTATCTCCAATTCATGAGCATTTCAATTTCTCTTCATCCTTAGTACACATTTTCTTAATCCTATTGAAATCACCATTATAAATAATGTAAAGGGATATCTCATTGTGGTTTTGATGTGTATTTCACTAATGAGTGAGACTATGGATCATATTTGTGTATTTATTCACCATTTGTAATCTCCTTGGAAAATTTCTATTCTATATATAAATGTTTTATGCATATGTATATGTATATCATATATGTGCCTATATATGACAAATAGTTTGGAAAATATCATATATGATCTGCTTATGAAGATGTTCATTCTTCAGTACTGGGATATGTCCATATCATAACTATCAAAACAGGTGTTATTATTTCTATAGTAGGGGTTAAATGAAAGAGATTGAAAAAGAAGCTTTCACATATAATATAGGTCATAATATGAAAGTGGCATGACTAAGATTTAAACCTTAATGGCTTATCACATAATACAAGATATTTTCATCACACTGATCAGGATGCCCACACTTTACTTTTTTAAAAAAATTATAGGTGATGGGATAGCATGCATCCTGGTATGTATTCTAGTCATCAGCCTCTCATGCAACATTACCCTTTGCCATGCAAGGATTAGAGGCAACATTAACCACAAAAACCTGCCAATGAACTCTGTGTGTGTGTGTGAGAGAGAGAGAGACAGACAGACAGACAGACAGACAGACAGACAGACAGACAGACAGACAGTACTGGTGCTTGAACTTCAGTCCTTACCCTCTCACTCCACTTTTGGCACTTTTAAACTTTGAGCGACAACTCCAGTCTGGCAATTAATTGGAGATGGAGTTTCATAGACTAAGTAATTACATAAATTTCACAGATTTCCCAGATTGTGGGATAGTGATACTTAGTTAAAGTACAAACACATTTCTACCTTCAGGAGGTACATTGTCATTACTGTGGCCCAGGCTTCTTTTGAAATGCAATCCTCAAATCTCATCTCTCTCAGGATCTAGGATTATAGATGCGACCCAACTAAGCCCAGATACAATGAAACCTTTTTTTTTTGTGGGTCGTGGAGCTTAAACTCTGGGCCTGGGCGCTGTCCCTCAGCTCTTCAGCTCAAAGTTAGTGCTCTACCACTTGAACCACAGTGCCACTTCTGGTTTTCTGGTGGTTTATTGGAGATAAGAGTCTCACGGTAGCTTTAGTGTGGCCTTGTTTGTGATCATTTGGGTAAATGCCAAAAGTGGGATTGCTGGGTCATAGGGGAGCTCTTTGTACATGTCGTTATGTGGAAAAATAAACTTTACAACTTTGGTGTGTGTGGGGGGGGAGGAAAATTGGGTGAGGGGTGGGCGAGGAGGATGGGAAGGGGAAACAAAGGAGGAGGCTACAATGCTTGATAAGAAATGTACTCATTATCTTGC